CGTCAGACCAGACAGCTCCACCGGCCACTCCACTGTCCAGAAGGAAGACAGGCCCTGAGCTGGCCCCTTCAAGAAACAAAGAGGGGCTGAAACCGGTTTGGCTCAGTGGATAGAGCATTGGCCTGCGGACTGAAAGTTCCCAGGTTCAATTCCGGTCAAGGGCATGTACCTTGGTTGTGGGAACATCCCCAGCAGAGGGTGTGCAGGAGGCAGCTGATCGATGATTCTCTTTCATCAATGTTTCTAACTCTCTATTCCTCTCTCTTCCTCTCTATAAAAAAAATCAATAAAATATATTTAAAGAAAAAAGAAAAAGAAAAGAAAGAAACAAAGAGGGGCCCGGCTGGGGTGGCTCCGTGGTTGAGCATTGACCCATGAATCAGGAGGCCATGGTTTGATTCCGGTCAGGGCACATGCCTGGGTTGCTGGCTCGATCCCCAGGGTGGGATGTGCAAGAGGCAGCTGATCCATGATTCTCTCTCATCCTTCTCCCTTCCTCTCTGAATTCAATAAAAATTATTAAAAAAAAAAAAAAAAAAAGGAACAAAGAAGGTCCCAGGAACCTCTGCTGCTTCTGCTGGTTAGGAGACTCTTCCTGTCTTGAGCAATTCTAGAAGGTTCCTGAAGAGTGCCTTACTCTGCACCTGCACTGGCTGCCTGCCACAGCCACTCCTCTGGCAGTTCAGGCACTGAGGGTGGAAAGGAGCCAGGCTGAGGATGGGTGGAGAGAGCCTGGAGGGAGGCATGTTGGCGGGGCCGCCCGGGCCTCCTCCCAGGGGGTGGGGCGTTGGAGCCATGTTAGAACTCGCCTGTCACACGGGGCACCCCTCTGAGGTCACGGACATTAGGAAGAACACGGGTTTGGAGTCAGGCAGAATCACGTTGGGTAGTTGGATTTCGGCTTTTCCTCTAACCCCACCGCGGGAAACTGGCCTGTTACTCAAACTCAGCCTTAAAATACAGGCCTTGGCATCCCCCATGGCTGGTGGCCCCTTCCTCCAGCTTCAGAGACAGGAATAATGGTTGAGTCTTTTTGTTCACAAAACATTACTCTGACCTTCTCCCATAGTCAGAGCTCTCGCCACTCTCCTCTTCTGCCTCAATCTACTATTTTATTTATTTATTTTTGCCGGATGTGGCCCCACAAGGACCAGGCAGACATCGCCATAGTTCTGCCTACTATTTTATATATATATATATATATATATTTATGCTAGAGGCCCAGTGCATGAAATTCGTGCACTTGGGAAGGGTGTCCCTCAGCTTGGCATGTGCCCTCTCACAGTCCAGGAGCCCTTGGGGGATGTCCGACTGATGGCTTAGGCCTGGGCAGGCCTAAGTCACAGTGTGACATCCTGTGCACTCCCTGTGCTCGCCAGCCATGACCCCGGCTTTTGGCTGAGCAGTGCTCCCCCTGTAGGAGGCACTGCCCACCAGGGGGCAACTCCTGCGTTGAGTGTTCTCTGTGGTCATTCTGCCGTTTGGCCGATTTGCATATTAGCCTTTTATTATATAGGATATATATTTTATTGTTTTCAGAGAGGAAGGGAGAAGGAGAGAGAGATACATCAATGATAGAGAATCACCAATTGACTGCCTCCTGCATGCCCCACCCTGAGGATGGAGCCTACAACCTGGGCATGTGCCCTGACCAGGAATGGGACCATGACCTCCTGGTTCATAGGCCAACTCTCAACCACTGAGCCAGGCTGGCTGGGCCTCAGTCTACTTTTAAGGCCCCTTATGATTACTTTGATTGTTCCGCCCAGACAATTCTAAAATGGGGTAATCTTCTTAATTAAGATCAGTTGATTAGCGACCTTAATTCCCCTTTGCCGTGTCAGGCAACATAGTCACAGGTTCTGGGGATGAGGACGGGACATCTTTGGGGGGCAATTAGTCGGCCCACCAGTGTCCTTCCACATGTCTGTCTTCCTTTGCCCCAGGTCCTCCCGCCCTCCACACCCCACACCTGGCTGCCTGATTGTCCCTGAGGCGTCCTGGCACCCACAGGGAGAGGCCCTCCTTGCCCCAGGCCAGGAGGAAGACTCGTTTATTCGGTAGGAACATGAGGAGGAGGCAGGTGGCTGGACAGGGTGAAGTTTATGGCCATTCTCCAGGTGCCCAATTGTGTGTCTGACTCCCCTGGGCTGCCCACATGGTCCGGTTTTTACAGCCCTCTCTCCCTGGGAACAATGGCCCTTGCGAGTGAGTATCCTGCTGCTTCCCAGCTGCCTCCCAGCAAGGGGTAGGTATCAGGCTCCTGGAGGCCACCTGCCTGGGACCTCTCATGGGAAGGGAAACAGCTGGAGCCTCCTGTTGGAGTTGCATCATCAGAGGAAGTCCCCTTGGTGGGTGGGTGGCCTCGTGGTGGGTGGGATGCTTCCTGTTCCCCAGCTGGTCCCCTCCCTGGGTGACCTGTCACCCTCCAGCCCTATACTGGGCTCAGGAGCCGGGCCTCCTGGCTGGGAGCGAATCCTGAATCTCGGAGGGCCAGCTTCCAAATGTTGCTTCTCCCCCTGAAGATGTGTTTCTTGCCTTCTGGCAGGAAGCAGACATTTCACCCCCATTTAAGAACCACTTTTTCAGGTCGCAGGGAGGGGGCAGGAATCATAAGAGTCTGCCCCCTTGCAGCCCTACCTCATGGGCAGGGCTGTCTGGGTGGTCTGGGCTGGTTTGCTTCTTGCTGAGCTGAGCTGGGCTGGACTCTGGCTGAGAGGGACACATCTCGCCATCTAGTGGAGAGCGGTGGGACTTCCCCGGGGTAATGGACCAAGAACTGTCTACACTGGAGCTGATTATCCAGGGCAGGGGTGGAAGCCCTGGCTGTCACCCAAGGAGGCTTAAAGCATATGGATGCTCAAGCCCCACTCCACACCTGCTGCATCAGCCCTCCCTCGGACCAGCAGACTCAGGAAGGCTGCTGGGCAGAGATCCGGAGGCCCAGCCAGGGGGAGGCTGCTCGGCCTGTGTCTGGAGGAGCTGAGACATCCACCCGGGTCCCCCTCCATCGTCAGCCCTGCTGGTCCCCCACCATCCTGGCGAGAGGAGGGGGGTGCCATCACCTCAGCTCCCCCAGGCATCTGCTGGGAGGCCTGGGGCAGGGCTTGGAGCCTTCCTGCAGGGTTCTACCTTAGTCTTTGGAGCAGACAGTGGCTCCATCAAGTGCAGGCTTAAAGGGGAAAGGCAGCCCCCGGAGCTCCTGGCTGAGGGGGTGACGGGGGGTGGAGGGGAGAGCGGGGGCGGGGACTCTCATGGTCTGGGAAGCGAGTACTTACAGCAGCTAACCCCACCCCACACCTCCCACCCCCTCACCTGCCAGGTGAGGGGGTGGGAGGAGAAGTCGCCGCCCCCCGCGAACATGGCTTCAGAAACTGTTCCCAGGAAACAGCTGGGTGGCCGCCAGCCTAGGCCAGATTCCGCACAGGGCCCACCGCGCATGCTAAGACCCCGGCTCCCACTCAGAATGCTGGGGATCCGGGCGACCTCTCTGTGCCTCAGTTTCCCCACTCGTCCGCCGAGAAGAACAATGCCTACCTGACAGAGTAGCAGGGGGGTTAAACGGGGAGAACACGGGCTGTGCGATCCTCCACGGGGCACGGCGTGGCCTCTCGGCGTCGGGAGGAGCTCAGGGTGTCACGAAGGGAGCGGGTGGGTGCGGCGTCTCTGAGGTCAGGGCGGCTGCTGCACGGCCTGCCATGCTCAGGGCATCTCTGTCCCCCCGCAGGGCCTGCCCAGAGTGCCAGGCGTGCCAGGCTGAGGAGCCCTGAGCGGGACGGGGCAGTGCCCAGCCCATGTCAGCTGTTACCAGGCCTGACCTCTGGGTCAGATGCCCCCGCGTTCTCACTCTGTTCCCGGCGCGTCCGTGAGCTGCTGGGTGTGTGCATTCACCTCCCCTTACCCCTCAGAGGATCCGGGGCTGCTCTCCGGGGGTCCGAGGCCCTGCCCCTCCTGAGGGGAGGGAAGCGTGTTGGAGAGGAACGCCCTCTGGCCACGTTAAAGGGCCCACCTTGCCCCTGGCCGGTGTGACTCTGATGGTTGAGTGTGGTCCCGGGCACCAAAAGGTCGCTGGTTCGATCCCCGTCAGGACACATGCTCAGGTTGAAGGGTCCAGCCCCTGTTGGGTGCGTGTAGGAGGCAACCAATCGATGTTTCTCTCCCATATCGACGTGTGTGTGTGTGTGTGTGTGTGTGTGTGTGTGTGTGTCTCTCTTTAAAGTTAGTAAAAGCATATCTACCTTTTAAAAGGCCCTCCATTGTCCCCAAAGAGCCACAGGACACTGTTCTCTCCCCAGGGCAGCGTCCCCTCTGGCCCTGCGGCCTGCTGCGGACCCCAGCCCCAGCCCCGGCCGACGGCTCTGCCCTCAGACTTGGCTAGAACCGCCTGGAGAGGCCCCGTCCCGGGCAGGCTTGCCAGGCTGGAGGCGGCGTGTCTGTTGGTCAGTTTGCCAGCCGATGGGGCCGGCTTGTCTGGGGGTGAACTCGATAGGGGGGAAAGCAAAGCCGGGATAGAGATGGAGATCCTGGCAATACCATGCCTCTCTCTGCCACCGGCCCCGCCTCCTCTCTGCACGAGCAGGCGGGTCCTATGTGAAAACCAGCTTCGGAGCCGGGTTTCTGTCCCTCGTCGCTGGCTAGCATAGACATCCCACAAGTCCTGTCCTAGAATCTCCTCCTCCCCTTTCCCTTCCCCTCGGGAAGCTCTCCCAGCAGGAGAGAGCACAGCTGAGCTCCACCTCTGACTGATGCACCTGCAAGGTAAGTCCTAGGCTGGAGGGTGGGGGGTGGGGGCCGGGGGAGGGACCAGCTGGGAAAAGGAGGCAGGTGACTGTTCAAGCCTCTGCCCCGGGGTCTCTTAGCTTTCTAGAGCTGGGCAGGCCCCTCAGCCTTTCCAGCCTCGGTTTCTCCATCCATGCAACGGGTTCATAATCTCCTCCTCAAAGAGGCTGTTGGGGAAATGAAATGAGAACCGACATGGAGACAGGCCGCCTCGTCCAGGAAGCGCTGTGCAGTAGTGTTTATTGTTACAGTGTTAATGTTCTCTCTGGGAAAGGTGTTCCAGGCTTGAGGCCTCGGCAGCCCCCGGCAGGTGGGGGAGGGCTCGGGAAATCCTTCTCCCACAGCCAACCACCGGCAAGAAGGCCCGTTTCCACAGTTCTGTTTCCCACGGTTCTGTTTCCCACGGGGTCTTTCGTGTCACTCAACGGCCCGGAGCCTGTGGAGGCCTCGAAGAGCAGCCCAGGGTGTGATGCCCCAGACACAGGTGATGGTGGGTGAAGGGATGGCGAGGGCGGCAGGACGTGAGCTGGCCCTGGAGCATGGAGGGGCCTGGCCCTGCGGGGAGCACTCAGGCCTGTTCTTGCCCAGGCCACCCCACGCTGCCAGCCCCAGCCCTGGTCACGAGCTCAGGACTGGGGGGCATTATTCTGGGGCCCCTCCACGCTGGCTGTGTCAGGGTCTCATATGGCCTCTCGCTGCCCTCGGCAGCCTGGGGCCCGGTGACAGCGATGCTGACGGCAGAGAAAGGCTCTGCTCAGCCCTGGACAGAGGGGGCTCTCAGAGGTGCCAGGGTCAGAAAGCTGAGTGCCAACCAGGTGCCTCCTGGTGGCTCTGGCCCAGCCTCTGGCAGGAACACCGGCCCCTCTGCCTACCCTGGTGCTCCTGCCCCTGGCACCACCCGCCCCTCTCCAAGGGGCCAGCACCCGCAGGCACGGGTGACACCTTTCAGAGAGCCATGTCCCGATGCCACGTCACCCTTCAAGGGCCAAGACCCCAGCCCAGGCTGTTCGGACAGGACGTGCCGGTCAGCGTGTGCAGGTGGCCGCTCCACCAGCCCTTGTCAATTAGCCACCAGGTCTTCCTGCCAAGTCCGCCTGGCCCCCCCAAAGCAGATTGACATTGAGGGTTTTCCAGCAGACAAAGCCCACCAGAAGGGACTCTGTATGGGGCTTGTTTGTTTACCGGTCATCCTGCTCTCATGTGGAAAAGCCAGCTCCCAGTGCTCCCCTGCCACCAGGGACACGGGCATCGGGGAGGAGCGAATGTGTGGTCAGGGCATCTTTAGACCAGAAGGTGGATTTGGAGTGGCCCACGTGGCCCCAGGCCTTTCGGACTGACGCCCTCCCGGCTGGTGACCCCCCCAGCCACTGCTTGCTCACCTGGTCTGCAAAGGGCATGTGCAGGGGACAAGGCGAGTTCATTTCTGACAAGTCCCGTTAGTTTCAATAAGCAGGTCTGCCTCGCTCACCCTGCCCTTCCCACTCACCCTGCAGGAATGACCGGCCTCCTGGTCTGCTGCCCCCTGGAGGCAGGTCCTGGGGTGGCCGTCACCCAGGCTGAGGCTGGCTCAGGAGTGACCAGGGCACCGGCATGGCTGGGCCTTTTATCCTCCTTCCCCGGCTGCGGGCTCTGCGGGCTCTGAGGCTTCGGCCCACGTGTGGCTGAATGTCAATGAGACACTGGGGTTTGAGACCTCAGCGAAGCCAGGCAGGCCCAGAGCGTCACGCCTCAGGCTCAGAATCAGAAACGCGTCCCGAGGAGGCCACGCATTCGGATGAAAGGGGGCGTCTCCCTGCCCGCCCACCCCCCGGGGGAGGAAATATCCCACGCTCCTTGTGCTCCTTTTGCACGTTGCTTCCAACATTACGGACTGAGAGGGGACAGGCCCACGTCCGTCCTGTGTTGACCTCGGCCTCGCGCCTGCCTCCTGAGCCGCTGCGAAGTGTGTTACAGACGTTAGCAGTGTTAGTCCTGGCGGCAGCCCGGAGGGAGGCAGTCACAGCGGAGGGAGGTGCTGAGCACAGAGAGGGGAGGCCGCCCGCCGGGGAGGAGCCACACGGCACACCGCGGCGAGCCAGGCAGAGGCCAGGGTCCTCTCCGCCATCCCGATGATGTCACCCCGATGATGTCACCCCGATGATGTCACCCCGGCGCCCGTGACAGACACCCCGGGAAGGTTTGCCGGTTTAGAGAATCCCAGATCCGCGGCCACATTTGGTCCAGTCCTCCCAGACCTCCCTCAGTCATCCCCGATCCTGCCGGCACCTCCCTTCACCCCTGGACAGGAAGTCTGCATTTCCTGGCACCGTCATTGCCAAGCCCCGCCCCGCACGCACCATCCACCTGCCCCCACCCCCGGAGCTGGTGCTGGAGGACGGGCAGGTACTCCTCCACATGCCCACCCCGTGCTGGGCGTTAGGGGCAGAGCAATGACTTCCCTGTTCTGCTTGTTCCCGAGAGGGGCTCAGCGACCCCAAAGAGAACCCAGGAACCAGGGTCTCAGTCACAGGGGCAGGAGGCTGGGGCTGTGCTCTCCCTCCGTGTGGCGTCTCTCCGGCCACCTCGCTGGCTGGAGGGCCCCCTGCTGACTGGTCAGCCTCGGGCTTTGCCTGCCTGACCTCTGTCCCTGCTGGGCTCCATGTCTGCGTGGAGCCTGCCTGCTCCCCCCGGATGGGGCGTTGGGGCCCCTTTCCAGCTTGGCAGCCAGCCGGTCACTCTGGGTGGAGCCTGGGTGACGGGGGGGCCGGCATGGTGACAGGTCCTGGGGGCCAGCGCCCTTCCCCGGGCAGGTCGTCCATGGCAGGCGCCCCCTGGTTCCCTGTCTCGCCTCCGGATGGCAGTGTCTGTGGGGGTTTTCCCCGGGACCAAGGCCTCCGCAGTCGCTGGCACTGTGTACAGGTGACAGCGTCCGGCTCCTCTCCCTCCGGCGGCTCCCGGGGTCGGTCTGGCTGAGCAGCGGCTCCTCACACGTTGGTGACCTCCAGGCCGTTGTAGCCCTCCAGGCGGCACTGCTCCGGCCGGTCCTCCAGGTCCTCGTCCCCGCAGTCCTCGTTGTGCAGAGAGCCGTAGTCGTCATGGAAATCGGGGTCTTTGCTGCCGAAGCCCCGTCCTATCTTCCCCAGGGGCAGCTGCGGAGAGAGGCACGAGGCCACGGGACCAGGAAGAGAAGGAATGGGAGTTTCAGATCTGGGACGTGTGGCGTCTCCGAGTCTAATTGCTGTGTGGCCTCGAGCAACTTACCTAACCTCTCTGTGCTTTTCCTAGCCTATATAATAAAAGCCTAATGTGCTAAGTGTCCGGTTGTCCGGTTGACCTTTCAACCAATCAAAGCGCAATATGCTAATGATGTACTAAGACGACTCAACAGCTTGCCATGAGGTGCATTGACCACCAGGGGCAGATGGTCTGACCATAGATTAGCTTCTGCTGAGGTGCAGCCAATAGAGACGGAGCGAGATGGGCTGGACGTGCCCTGGAGCCCTCCTGTGGTCCCTCCTGGCTGGCCAACCTCCTGCATCCCTCCCCCTCCCCCAATCGTGCACGGGTGGGGTCCCTTGGCCTTGCCTCCTTGCAACCTGGGACACCTCGGGGGATGTCGGAAAGTCAGTTTCAGCCAGGCTGAGGGGCCCCATTGTTTGGGGCCCCATGTGCACTGGGCCCCTAGTTAGCAATAACACTCCACTGCTCAGGGAGACTGAGAGGATTTTGTGAGTTAACATCAGGAGCCAGTTGGTTACCAGGGTGAGGACAGACAAGGTCTTTCTGATGAGCCACAAAGCTCCCATCTTCCTCCTCAGCGGGAGGAAGGCCTAACGGAGGAGAGATCGTCAGAGCGTGCACTTGAGGTCTGTCCTCATGCCCACATCAAGGAGAAATGTGTGGGCTGGAAAAGGTGTGGGTTGTCGAGAGTCTCACACCAGGGCTCAGATCCCTGCTCTGCCACTTCCTTGCTGTGTGACCTGGGACAAGTCCCGTGCCCTCTCTGAGACTCAGCTTTCTCAGTCACAAAATGGGAACAGTAAATCCTATCTTTTTTCATTTTCTCCCTCAAAAGGGAGCCTTTTAGACACTCCCCCTCATCACACCCCCACCGTGAAATTACACCGTGGGTATGCTCTGCGGGTGACAGAACGGAGGGAGGTGTTTTCCAAGCCAGTGTTCCCCCCTTTGGGGGAGTCACCCTCCATGAGCATGCTGCTCTGGGCTGAGAGCACCTCCCCTCTCCCCTCCCCCGCGGTCAGGATGGCGCTGGGAAGGCTGTGCACGCCCCGAGGGATCGCTGAGCGAATGGGAGAACTTGGGGTCGTGGCTGCTGCTCTGTGTGCCCCCACCTGCACCTCCTCGGACTGTGCGGTCTGAGAGCGTGGTCAGCCCCAAACCCCACACGTCTTCTCACATCGGAAGCTCTGCTGGTGCGCCTGGCGGGGCCGCTGGAGCTCCAACCTGGAGTCAGGGGTCCCCAGAGGCCCTGGGCTTCAGGAATCCAGGGGGGCCAGATGCTGCATGGGAAGCAGCTGCCCAGGGGGCTCTGAGGAGGCGGCTGAGGCCTGAGCTTGGGGCCGCTCCCCTACCCGCCGTGGGTCTTCCGCATCACACATTCAGGGCCTCCCTCCTCCCTGCGCCTGTGCCCGGAGGGCCACGCTGGCCTCCACAACAAAGACCTTCCCAGGCAGCAGGGCTCGGCGAATCGGAGGCCACTTACCCGGCCAGCCTTGTGCCTGATGCCACCGTTGTTCTCCTCCTTCCCCGCCCGGGGGGTGCCGGGGGCCCGCCCGGGGGGCGTTCCGAACCGCTCCGCCTCCCGGATGCCCGTGGAGCTGGGGAGAGATCATTCCAGTGCGTGTGCGTGTGCGTGTGCGTGTGCGTGTGCGTGTGCATGTGTGTGTGTGTGCGTGTGCGTGTGCGTGTGTGTGTGCGTGTGCATGTGTGTGTGTTTGTGCGTGTGTGCATGTGTGTGTGTGTGCGTGTGCGTGTGAGTGTGTGTGTGCATGTGTGTGTGTTTGTGCGTGTGCATGTGTGTGTGTGTGCGTGTGCATGTGTGTGTGTGTGTTTGTGCGTGTGCATGTGTGTGTTTGTGCGTGTGCGCATGTGAGGGGGCATCAGTCAGCTCCGGCCTCCCGGAGACACACACACACACACACATACACACACACGCACACGCACACGCACACGGACACGCACACGCACACGCGGCCTGGTTGGCCCTTAGCCACTGCATCCCCAGGCCATGGGCTCTGTAAGGGGTCATCACAGCACTTCCCTCATAAGATCTTCCTGGGCTGAATGAGATGACACACACAGAGGCCCAGCATGGCTGGCACACGTGACGGACTGCTATGATGACATCTGACCGTGACCAGCCGGGGTAGGGAGGGGCACAGGCCTGGGCCGAGTCCCCTGGCTGTGCCCCGGTGCCACCGAGGACCTCGCTGGGCCCGTTTCCTCATCCGCACAATGTAGCCCGGAGCACCTCTGGCCTTTACAAGCCGTGAGCCCTGAGGGAGAGTGGCTGGCTCTGCGGGGCACACACAGGCCCTGCCGGCCCTGCCACCACCATCTCCTACGGAGCTGCCCCCGGATGGAAATACAAACAATTCGGGGAAGAAACCAGCACCAGGCAGAGCTCCTTGGGGGCTCGATGCGGCCCAGTGGGCATCTGCAGCCACGTTGTCAGACCTCGGGGTGCTCAGTGGTCTGACCTGCTGCAGGCACCTGCGGAGCATCCACTAGGAGGCACTAGCCCGCCTGTCCGGGTGTTGGTCCTCGGCCACTTTTCTGATGTGGAGACTGGGTAGGGGGGCTGATGGGGTCTGTCCACCTGGACCATAAGCACCATTCGGACGCCCAGCCCTTTCCCCAAGTCTTTGCCCCACAGCATCGCTGCCTGGACTGGCCCTGTGGATCCTTAGGCCTGGGTGAATCATCCCCAGCTGAGACCCCCTCCCAGGCCTCTGCTTCCACGCTCCGTCCTTCTCCCCGGTCCGAATGGATGGATGGACGGATGGATGAATGGATGGATGGACGGATGGCATGGGGGTTTACCCACACCCTTATTCCATCTCCTTCTAGTCTATGGTGTTTGGCCAAAGCACTTCACTCCCCGAACCCCCAGTTCCAGCCCTGTGACAGGAGACCAGCCGCCTGGTTGCAGGGGCAGGTGGGACCCGGTGGGTGAGTGAGGGCCAGATGGGGAGTCGGGGCTCCTTCCCCCCTGCACCCCAGGTTGGGGAGGGGGGAGGACGCTGCCCGCACTCACGTGGTCGGGGGGAAGACGGCACTCATCTCCTCCGCCAGGTGTCTCCGGAGGATGTGCTTCCCGCTGGGGATGCCCAGGGCGGTGGCCATGGCCTCGGCGTTAAACGTGGGCTCCAGCACCAGCACGGCGCCATGGACCCCGCTGTTGGTCAGGTTGTCGGCATACTCCTGGGGGCAAGGCACGAGGCTGCTGAGCCCGAGGGCCGCTCTGCTGCGGAGAGGGGTGCCCTACTGGCCCCAGGGGGTCCTAGCCCCAGGTGCCTTGGCCCCTTGGGCACCGGCCATTTCACACTGAGGCGAAACCCACCCTCCCTCTTTAGGGCCATCGGGGCAGTGGCTGAGGCCATTCTGTCACTGACCCTCCCTGATCGTGGCAGGCAGCCCACACGCACTCAAGTGAGACAATGGGCCTGGAGTCCACCCCGCACCCGCTCCTCCGTCTGGGGTCCTGTGAGGAGAGCAAAGGCACTGCGGTCCCATTGTGGGTGCGGGGCTGGTAGTGCCCTCCTCTTGAGTGACAGAGGCAGCTTGTTCTTGCCAGTCTGCGTAAGATGCCCCAGCTCACACAAAGTGCTGGTCGGCACACAACGTGCGTGGCATCTGCGTCTGCCTGAGTCACCCCACTCCCGCCGTCACCCTCACCTTCAAGTCAATGTCGCGCACCCACTTGAGCACCCGCTGGTTGGTCCAGACCACGGGGTCTGTGTTCTGTGTCTCGCAGCGGGCCCGGCGCTCCTGGAGGGCCTGGGGGAGGGAGACAACGGGTCAGTTTGGGGGACAAGGGAGCGGGCTGAGGTCACATGAAGAGTAAGGGCCCTCAGTGCTCACCGGGCCCTCAGTGGCCTGTGTGAGAGGACAAGTGATGAGCTCCTGGGAGGTGAGGGTTCGCCATTTCCCTTGAACTGAGCACAGGCCTGCCCTGCACCATAGGAGTTGTTGGGAGGAGGGATGGTGAAGAAGAGATGAATGCATGGATGGATAGATGGTAGATGGATGAATGGATGGATGGATGGATGGATGGACAGACTGACTAACAGATGGACGAATGGATGGATGAATAGATGTATGCATGTATGTATGGATAGATGTATGTATGTATGTATGTATGTATGGATGGATGTATGGATGAATAGATGTATGGATGGATGGATGGATGGACAGATAGATGGACGGATGGGTGGATGGATGAATAAATGGATGGATGGATGGATGGATGGATGGATAGATGGACGGATGATAGATGGATGGATGGATGGACGGACGGACTAACAGACGGACGAATGGATGGATGAATAGATGTATGCATGTATGTATGGATAGATGTATGTATGCATGTATGGATGTATGGATGAATAGAAGGATAGATGGATGGATAGATGGATAGATGAATGGGTGGGTGGATGAATAGATGGATGGATGAATGGATGGATGGATGGATGGATGGACGAATGGGTGGATAGATGGATGGATGCATGGATGAATGGATGGATAGATGGATGGATGGATAGATGGATGGATAGATGGATAGATGGACGAATGGGTGGGTGGATGAATAGATGGATGGATGGATGGATGGATGGATGGATGGATGGATGGACGAATGGATGGATAGATGGATGGATGGATAGATGGATGGATAGATGGATGGATAGATAGATGGATGGGAAGATGGCTGGATGGAAAAACAGTGAATGCCAGAGGGGGCAGGAAGGCTATGGGAGGTGCCTGCACCCACAGCCTGGTTCTCACCTCCCTGCTGAAGTTCACTTGGTACAGCAGCTCAATGCCCAGCAGGATGCTGACCTGGTGGAACTTCTTGGACACATTCAGGTGCTTCTCCAGGTCCCGCTTCATCAGGGAGTTCAGCATCCGCCCATCGACCAGGTGGTTTTGGAAGGCCTGGGAGTACTGGGCCAGGCCGATGTCGTTCAGCCAGGCCTTGGCCACCCAGTGATGGTCCAGGTCGGCGGCTTTGGACAGGCTGGTGGGGAGAGACAAAGCCAGGGAGAGGGGCGGTGGGAAAGGGAGAAGGAGCAGAGGTGAGCAGAGAGGAAGAGCGAGAGTGGAAACAATAGGGGGGCAGACAGTCACGGAGACTGACAGGAACAGGGAAGGAATGGAGAGACAGGAAGAGCGGAGATGATATGAGAGGGGGATGAAGGGAAGAGAGGGAAGAGGGAATGAGAGAGGGGGGAGAGAGAGCACCCCAAAGGGTAAAAAGAGACCAACAGAGAGAGGGAGGGGATAGGAAAAGAGAAAAGACCACGTTCAGACACAGGGACAGTGATGGCCCACAGGGACAGGTGTAGCAGGAACAGCACTGTGGGGGCTCCCGCACTGCCCCGCCACCCAGGGCCCCGACAGGACCCCTGAGACCCACAAAGCCTCTGCCTAGCCCGTCTCTCCTTGGACTGTAGCCAGTCACATAGCAGCACGTCTTGGAATCAGAATTAAAACCTATTTTTAATTTTGTCTATTATAGCATTCTCTCCTCACTGCCACCCCTCAGATTTCTTTGTATCCCACACAGAACCTGCCCCAGGGCCACGCACATAGTAGGTGTACCAGGACTACCTCTCAGATGCATAAACAAACGGAAGCAAGGGTAGTCTAGTCGGCTGTCACTCCCTTGCTCGCCACACGGTGGCAGCCTCTCAAAAGGAATAAGGCCAGCATCCCCGACCCTGTCCATCCACCAGCCAGTGGTGTCAGTGTGTCTGTCCCTTCCTCTTTTTCCCTAGGGTCAAGGCCCGACCTCCCTGATGTGGATTTCTGCATCTGCCTCCTGACTGCCCCTCCTCCCCACCCCATCGTCCCTTCGAGTGCACCCTCCCCATCAATTAGATCAGGTCATCCTCTGCTCATATGACCAAGTGTGCAGAGTATATGAATCCAAATACGTGACCTTCTGGAAAAGGCGAAACTAGGGAGACAGTGCAAAGGTCAGGGGCTGCCAAGGGTTGGGGGTGAGGGGAGGGAGGAGCAGGCAGAGCACAGAGGATTTTTCAAGGCAGTGAAACCACTGGTCTGACACGGTAACGACGGACATACGTCATCACACGTTTGTCGAAACCACAGAACGAACCCCCATGTCACCTGTGGACTTGGGATGATGATTATGGTGATGTGCCTAAGCGGGTCCCATGGTAACTAATGTTCTGTCTAGTGGGGGATGTGGTAATAGGGGAGGCTGGGCATGAGGGCGGGGACGGGGGATATGGGAAATCTCTGGATCTTCCGCTCCATTTTGCTGTCTGGGCTCCCCTCCCCCCTCCTCTCCTGGGGGAGGGAGGGTGAGCGCAGCAAGACAGCGGTGCCAGGGCGGTGGGAGGCGGGCGGGAGGGGCACCTGCTCACCTCCTTCAGCGAGGCCATTTCTAACCAGCAGCAGCCACGTGTGTGCGAGCCCCTCCCCTCCCCCCCCCCCCCCCCCCCGTCCCCTCACCCCTGAGACACCTGCTCTCTTCATTAAACTCGTCCCCAGGCGCCCAGCGTGGCACCACTTTCTCAGCCGTTGCCTGAGCCACTGTAAGCGCCCACGCTGAATAAAGCCTCTTGACCTTAAAAGTAATTGAAGACCACCGGCCGGTGTGGCTCAGACAGGTGGTAACCTTGAATTCCTGGTCAAGGGCACGTGCCCGGGTTGCCAGCTTGATCCCCAGCAGGGGGCGTGCAGGAGGCAGCCCATCTATGGTTCTCTCTCTTCATTGTTGTTTCTCTCTCCTCTCTCCTTCTCCCTTTCTCTCTGAAATCAATAAAAAAAAAATACATTTACAAAAATAATGGGAGACTTTTTGTCCAATGTGACACTGCCCCCTCCTTACACGGGGCTGGATTAGACCCGGACATTCGAGTTTGGGTACAGACTTAGTTATCATCTGGGTCATTATTTGACACGGAGAACAGGAGGCCACACTGGCTCCAGACCGTGCGCCTCTGTGCCTCAGTTTCCTCATCTGTAAAACGGGGCTGGCCGTGTTAGTGTCTGGGGTTGTGAGGACTCGGGGGTGAGAGAAGGGATGAGCAGCTGGGACCCACTGCGTGTTCCATAAACAATAGGAGGAGGAGGAGCCGTGGCTGCTAACACTTCGTGGGAGACCGGAGAGGGAACTGACTTCAGTGTTAGGTGTTCTGTGACTCTGTGCTCCTGGGCCTCACCTTCCCCTTCTTTATTTTATTTAAAAAAATTAAAAAAAAAAAAAATATATATATATATATATATATATATATTTTTTAATGATTTTTAACAGAGAGGAAGGGAGAAGGATAGAGAGCAAGAAACATCGATGAGAGAGAAACAGCTGCCTCCTGCACACCCTCCACCGGGGATGTGCCCGCAACCAACGCACATGCCCTTAACTGGAATCGAACCTGGGACCTTTCAGTCCGCAGGCCGATGCTCTATCCACTGAGCCAAACCGGTTTTAGCTCCTTCCCCTTCTTTAAAACGGGGGTGAGAGGACCTATCCTACATGGGTAAGGTGACCAGACGTCACACTTTGGGCGGGACAGTCCCGATTTTGAACAATTTGTCCCGCGGCACAAATTGTTCAAAATTGGGACTGTCCCGCCAAAAGCAGGGCCTCTGGTCATCTTATGCATGGGTGCTAAATAAAACTGTGCCCACACAATGGCGGGCGATGGCTTCACAAAGTCCTGTAGAGAGAAGGCCCAGAGAGGGCAATGTCTCGCCCGAGGTCACACAGGATGCGCTCTGTATGACGACCTCGCTGGTTCTCAGCCTCTAGTCCCAGGGGTGGGTCAGAGGGTCCCTGAGTGCCGATTGGGGAAGGTCTGTGTATTTCTTCTGGTGAAAGTGTCTTAAGGTTGTTTTTTTTTAATTTTTATTGAGTATGGTATCACATAATTGTCCACATCTTCCAATTCCCATCCCAAACCCCTCCCCACATATGCCCCCACCCCCCTGTTGTCCATGGCCACTGGCTAGGCCCATAGGCATGCACACAAGTCCTTTGGTTGATCTCTCCCCCTTACCCCCCCCCTCCCCTACTTTCCCTCTGAGGTTTGAGAGTCTGATCGCTGCTTCTCTTTCTCTGGGTCTGTGTGTGTTCATCAGTTTAGGTTGTTCGTTATTTCCTCTAGATGTGTGAGATCATGTGATCCAAGAAATACCCTCGTAAGAATCGAAACTGAGACAAGCCGTAATGGTTATGCTGAGAGGCGAATGAATCAGTCTGTTCTGGGCCAATAGTTCTTTTGAGACCCAATTTCAATGTCAAACATTTAAGTTTTTTATTTGACTCTCCACGGGGCTATGATCCCCCAACATTAAAGAACCGGGTCCTAATTGACCCCAGCACTTCACAGGTGGAGAAACAGTCCCAGAGAGAGAGCAAGGTCACGGGGGGAGGAAGGGCAGGCTGGTTTTCCCGGGGAGCGAAGGGGCCCTGGGAGGACCAGAGTCCTCCCACAGCTCTTGTCATTTCCAAAAGCCGGGTGTTGACCCGAATCCCCCCCCCCCCCCATAGAATCTGACCCCACAGTTTTGAGAGGTGAAGCAGGCAGCCCCACCCTGCTCAACGCAGCTTTTACTGGCTGAATTGGGAGGAGGATTGGGGAGGGAGCGAGTCCCAGCTTGGGTGACTGGGATGGGGACTCCAAGGAAGGCCCTGGGTGGATGGGCGGTGAGTGTGGGTGCTGTGGGACCTCGGAGGAATCGCAGCGGGTGCCGCTCCTCTACCCCTGGCCTCCAGCCTGGCGAGTCCCAGCTCAGGAACAGGCCGCTCCTGTGGGCTTGGCTGGCTCTCAGGTGGGGCCTGAGTTTCTGATCGTTATTTCCCGCCACCTCCAGTGCCGCCTGCCGCCCCCCCCTCCCCACGCCCCTCCCGGGTGCTCTCCAGGCACCGGGTTCGGGTTCCTGCTTCCAGCTCCGCCTTTTCTAACCCACAAGCTGCTTCTGCAAATAACGGCATGGCATGCACTGCCGGCTGGATTAATTGACGGCACAGAGAGGACGGGAGCCAGCGAAGGAGGTAATTATGCAAAACAAGTGTCTGTTCTCCAGCCTGCTCCCTGCTCCCTCTGCACGCGGGCACTGGAGTGTGTGTGTATCTATGTGTGTGCATGAGTGTGTGCATGAGAGTGTGTGTGTATCTAAGTATGTGCATGTGTGTGTGAGAATGTGTGTGTGTGTCTGGGTGTGTGTATGTATCTATGTGTGTGTATGAGGGTGTGTGTGTGTGTATATGTGTGTGTGCGTGAATGTGTGTGTATTTAGGTGTGCATCTATGTGTATGTGAGAGTGAGTGTGAGTGTGTATTTAGGTGTTATCTGTATGTGTGTGTATGAGAAAGTGTGTGTGTGTGTATGAGTGTGTGTGAGTGTGTATGGGTGTGTGTGTGACTGTGGGTCCTTTCCTTTCCCCCGGATCTGCTTGGTAAATAAGGCTCCCTCCCCCGAGCATAGCCTGCTCACAAAGGTGAGTGAGAGGCAGCAGGAGCAGGCCAGGTGGGTGATGTTATGGGTGGGGGTCAGGGTGCCAAGAGCAGGGGGGGCGCTGTGGAAAGGACACACGGGTGGGAGGGATCTCGCCACTCCCTGGTGCATCCTACACAGAGCGCCTCCCGCAGGCTGCAGCAGCCACTTCCTCCCGTCCCACCCTGCCTCTCCCCGCCTGGCCTGCCCTCTGAGCCCCCCGCCCCCTCCCAGCCCCCCGCCCCTTCCCAGCCCCCCGCCCCCTACCAGCCCTCCGCCCCCTCCGCCCCCTCCACCCCCTCCGAGCCCTCAGTGCCCCGAACCCCAGGAGCCGGGGCTGGGCGCAGACACTGTGGCCACTCCCAGGCCCACCCTCAGAGACAGAGAGTTCTGGGGGTGTGTGAGGTTTCCCCAGCCCCTGCCCCGAAGGGAAGATGGCATTTGGGGCCTCACTTACTCCCTGGTCTCCATCTTTCCATGGGGGGGGGGGGGGTGCCTGGGCCTCCTGCCCTGAGATGTGTGGACCAGACTGCACCCCTAGCCCGGCCTACCACGCCCTTCAGCCCACCGGTGTGACCGGAGGTCCCAGGGGCACTCCCCCCCCCGCCCCCCCCGGCCAGCCCGGGCGGGGGCGGCTCACCTCCGGCCGGCCTCGGCGTCGCGGTAGTCCTCGATGGCCAGGCGCAGCTTGCGCCGGTGCAGGGAGCTGCACACGCCCAGGCCCAGCTCCAGGTCCTCGTCGCTCAGGCTTAGCAGCACCTGCGCCCCAGAAGGTGGGCACTGAGCGCCCGGGGGGGCTTGGGGGCCCCTAAGGCCTCCCAGAACCCGTGCTGGCCGGGGCTGAGCCCCAGAGGGGTCTGCTGGCTGGAGCTCCCTCTCCCCCATCTCCTGCCCACCTTCCCTGCCGTCAGGGCAGAGCACCCCCACAGCCCGCCTGGAGCACCCCTGAACCAGGTCAGCCAGCTCCTGGGCTACAGCTCCTCCTCACCTGGAGGGTGGGAGTCGGGGTGGGGGTGGGGGTGGGAGTTGGGGTGGGGGTGGGAGTCGGGGTGGGTGTGGGGGTAGGAGTTGGGGTGGGGGTGGGAGTCGGGGTGGGGGTGGGGGTGGGAGTTGGGGTGGGGGTGGGAGTTGGGGTGGGGGTGGGGGTGGGAGTCGGGGTGGGGGTGGGGGTGGGAGTCGGGGTGGTGGTGGGAGTCAGGGCGGGGGTGGTGGTAGGAGTCAGGGCGGGGGTGGTGGTGGGAGTCAGGGCGGGGGTGGGGGTGGGGGTGGGGGTGGGAGTTGGGGTGGGGGTGGGAGTCGGGTGGGTGTGGGGGTAGGAGTTGGGGTGGGGGTGGGGGTGGGAGTCGGGGTGGGGGTGGGGGTGGGAGTTGGGGTGGGGGTGGGAGTCGGGGTGGTGGTGGGAGTCAGGGCGGGGGTGGGGGTGGGGGTGGGGGTGGGAGTCGGGGTGGGGGTGGGGGCAGGGCAGGCCGGCTTAGGGTTGGTAAAGCTCAGGGGCAGGACCCGGGGATTCTCACTGGGGTCCCGGGGTGCCCTACCTTCCCGCTCTTCACGTTCTCAGCGCAGGCCTTGACGTACATGGGCATGGCCATGACCACCTCCAGCCAGGCCTGCACGGCGCCCGCCTTCCAGTGGGACATGGGCGTGGTCCTGACCAGCTCCACCTGCTGCAGCCGGTCCGCCTGCTCCTCGCCCTCCGACAGGCTGAGGCTCTGCCGCGTGGGGCTGCCCTGGCTGTCCGCGTCTGCAACACACACACAAGCGGGGCTGGGGAGGGCACACACAGGCCCAGGGTTCGAGCACACACACGCAGGCCATGCTGTGGGGGAGGGGGGGTGTCCGCAGGGGGCAGGGACGGCAGGCTGCACCCTGAGCCTCCATTCCCCCTGCAGGAGGAGGGCAGGGATGTCTCCTTCCTCCCCCTCACCATGCATTTCTTCTTTTAAAAATCAAAATGGCCCGGCCGGCGGGGCTCAGCGGTTGAGCGTGAACCAGGAGGTCATGGTTCGATTCCCGGTCAGGGCACAGGCCCCGGTGGTGGGCTCCGTCCCCAGTGTGGGTTGTGCAGGAGGCAGCTGATCAATGATTCTCTCTCATCACTGATGTTTCAATCTCCCTTTCCCTTCCTCTCTGAAACCAATAAAAACATATTAAAAAAAAAAAAAATCAGCCAAGACCGGTTTGGCTCAATGGATAGAGCGTCGGCTTGGGGACTGAAGGGTCCCGGGTTCGATTCCCATCAGGGGCATGTATCTTGGTTGAGGGCACATCCCCAGTAGGGGGTGTGCAGGAGGCAGCTGATTGATGACTCTCTCTCATCGATGTTTCTAACTCTCTATCTTTCTCCCTTCCTCTCTGTACAAAATCAATAAAATATATTAAAAAAAAATCAGAGTGACCTTCGTTTTGTTTTTCCACCACTCCCTCACGACACAGAGAAAAGAATGTTAAAGACGTAACCCAGAGGAGAACACATATAACACAAGGTGGAAATGGCCCAGCCCCGGCCCTCAGGCAGCAGCTGGCAGCAGTGAGCTAAGGGCACGCTGGGAGACGCACAGGCCAGGCCACAGACACACGCAGACCCATGCACTGCACCCCGAGTCCATCCTGTTCTCGCGGCACCCCTGCACCCCAGGAGCAGTCACACGCTGTCCCCCTGCACAGCCTCAGGGGGGGCTGCCCCCACCTCTGTTTCCCCGCCTCCTGTGACGGGCAAGGCTCCGTCCTGGCTTCACTGTCTCGGACGATGCAGCAGGTCATGCTTAAGGTGACCAGATGTCCCGCTTTTAGCAGGACAGTCCCGGTTTTCAACCATGTGTCCCGCGGCATTTTAAAAAAGTCCCGATTTTTGAAAAAAATTGAGACTGTCAGCCGAAACCGATTTGGCTCAGTGAATAGAGAGCGTGTTGGTCTGTGGACTAGAAGGTCCCAGGTTCGATTCCGGTCAAGGGCATGTACCTTGCTTGCAGGCACATCCCCAGTAGGGAGTGTGCAGGAGGCAGCTGGTCGATGTTTCTCTCTCATCGATGTTTCTAGCTCTCTATCCCTCTCCCTTCCTAATTCAATAAAATATATATATTTTAAAATCAATAAAATATATTTTTTAAAAAGAGACTGATTTAAAAAAAAAAAATTGGGACTGTCCTGCCAAAAGCGGGACGTCTGGTCACCTTAGTCCCGCTGGGCAGCCGGGGGATTTATTTTCTCAGGACAAAGTGGAGCCAGCTTCCGAGCGGCCCTCGCAGACAAGACTTCTGATCCCCAGCCAGTTCCCACCCTGTTCCTCCGCGGTGGCCGCCTGCACCCACACCTGACAGGCGGCTGCACCCAGGACGCAGCTGTGGCTGCCTCGGCCCCCCGCCCTCCCGGCTTTCCTGGGAGCACTGCTTGCGTTCGGCTGGGTGCTCGGGGTGGGAACCCAGGCCCAGGCCTTGAGCATCCTCCCTGGGCGGGAACGCACTGCCCCAGCCAGGCTCCCCCTGGGTCCGGGTGGGAGGGGGCGCTATCTGTGAGCTGAGGGTGAGCTTGTGTGTTCTGTGCCAAGGTGTTTGTGGGGCCTGGCTCGGTCTCCCCGAGGGAGGGAGGGAGGTAAGGGGGCGTGGGAAGGGGGACACTGGGAGATGCTGGGCAGCAGGAGTCAGAGAGAGAGAGAGAGACAGACGGAGGGAGGAAGGGAGGGAAGAAGAGGAAGGGGAGAGGAGGGAGACTCAAAGAACAGGCCTTCAGGAGAGGAATCCTGCCACAGAAACAGCAAATACACAGACAGCGGGAAGGAGGAGAGAGTGCTCGGAGGGTGGGGAGGGCCCAGCGGCTCTGTGGACAGACAGGTCCCAGCCCCCTTCCAGTGAGCGTGCGCTCCTGGCCCGGCGTGTTTGGGAGCTGGTGCTTGTGGTTCTGACTCACAGCCCGGGCCCCGGGAGGAGCTGGCTTGGCACTCCTGTTATTTTATTTTAACATTTTTACTGATTTTTTTTACAGAGAGGAAGGGAGAGGGATAGAAAGTTAGAAACATCGATGAGAGAGAATCATCGATCAGCTGCCTCTTGCACACCTCCCACTGGGGATGTGACCACAACCAAAGTACGTGCCCTTGACCGGAATCGAACGTGGGATCTTTTAGTCTGCAGGCCGACGCTCTATCCGCTGAGCCAAACCGGTTTCGGCGCACTCCCGTTATGTATGGACTCCAGGCTCCAGGCACGCGTGGCTACGCAGAGTTCATAGGAGCCGGGCACACATTTCGGTTCAGCGGGCCACCGCTGGGACTGAGCTCCGAGGAGCAGATGCTGCTGCCGGTGCGAGGAGGGGTGTCTATGGGGTCAGACGCTGTGAACTAAAGGCCATTTCCAGATGCTGGCGTTAGAGGGCCAGACTTTATGGCTGCATCCCATCAGGCCTGGCTTTTATTTCCCCGGTCTCAGTGCTGAGAGGGGAATCACTCATGTTAGTAGCCAGGCAGCTCCGTGAGGGCTGAGGACCCAGGGGGCTGGCTGGGCCCGGGCAGTCTCAGGAGGGCCAGCCAAGAGGCAGCCGCTCCGGATGCCCCGAACACGAAGAGGCGGGACCCGGTGAGGCTTTGGAGGAGACATAGGCACAAGGGCGCCCCAGATGGCCAGCTGTTAGGGAGGGTTCCCCCAGCTGGGCCCCCCAAGCAGGGTGTCAGCCTGGCTCCGGCACTGGCACACAATGGCCCGGGGGCCGCATTCAGCCCGCAGCCTGCTTGTCGCAATAGAAAGCGCCACACGTGGTCTAAGGTTGCTCTCTGGCTGCCATGGCAGTGTGAGCGGTTGTGACAGATCTGTTCGTCCAAAATCCTAAAATAGTTCCTGTCTGGCCCGCTGTAGAACATCCTTTACAGAAACCTTGAGGTTCTGAGGTTGGCATTGGAATATGGGAGACCTGGGTTTGGGGATGTGTTTCCCGTGCCCCCAGCCTCACTTTCCACATCTGTGAAATGGGACCATCATGATGTCGAGTCACAGGGATCTACCTGAGGACCAGGGGAGAGGATGCGTGAAGCGTACAACGTTCTCCGCCTGGTGTCCGGCCTACAGGGATGGTCTGGGGTCTCCTGACCCCCGTAGGCTCATGTCACTTACAGTGAAGATCGGCTCTGCCCAGAACAGCAGCCGCGAGCCCGGGTGGCTACTGAGCCCCGGGGATGCGGCTCGTCCACATTCAGAGGGCACACTGCTTTTTGAAGACTGTGTGTGTACAGAACGATGTAAACTATGTTATTTTTATGATCACATATTAAAATATTTGGGTCTGTTGGCTAAAATATATTACTAAAATCCATTTCACCCTGTTTTCTTTTTAATATGGCCACTACAAAAATCTAAAATTAGCTAAAACGGGTTTGGCTCAGTGGATAGAGCGTTGGTCTGAGGACTGACAGGTCCCGGGTTTGATTCTGGTTAAGGGCATATACCGCAGTTGCGGGCACATATCCCCAGTAGGCGGTGTGCAGGAGGCAGCTGATCAATGTTTCTCTCTCATCAATGTTTCTAACTCTCTGTAAAATAATAATAATTAAAAAAAAATATATATATTATTTTAAAAACCAAAAATTGCATATGTGGTCTGCATATTTTTACTGGCCTGGGTGGGAGATTTTTGGTTCGTTTTCTCATCTCATTCCCACCCCTCAGAGGGTTTGGAGATGAAGCGCCTACTTCTCTGTTTCGGGCTCAGCCGTCCTGGACGTGCAGGTCCCTGAGGCTGCAGCATCAGCAGCACCTGGGAAGCGTTAGGGTTGAAAACCCCTGGAGCCTGCCCAGGCCTCCGGACACGGAAACCCGGGGGTTGGGCCCAGCAACCATCTATGTCTTCATCCACAAGCTCCTCGGGGGATTCTGATACAGGCGGAGGTCCTGAGCCACTCTGTAATGCTTGCCCTGGAAAACTTACCCTGAATATTTAACTTGAAACCTAGCATTGATCAATATCTTTTAAAAATATATATATATTTTTTATAGATTTCAGAGAAGAAAGGAGAGGGAGATGGAAACATCAATGATTTGAGTCATTGATTGGCTGCCTCCTGCAAAGCCCCTTCCACTGGGGACCGAGCCTACAACTTGGGCATGTGCCCTTGACAGGAATCGAACCTGGGACCCTTCAGTCCCATGGATGACGCTCTATCCATTGAGCCAACTGGCTAGGGCTGATCCGTATCTTAATATCCTCTCCTAAACTGTAAGATTATTAAAAACATTCATTCTGATCTCCTCTCCCAGCTATACCCTACTCTACCCAGTATTTCAATGATGTCCTTTTAAAACCCCACACAATTTAGAGATTGTCATCATGATTATTTTATACTGATAATATTAAATGTTAAAATAATGTACCTACATGTTTACCAATTTCTCTGTTTTTTATTCTTCTAGACATTATCCTTGACCAGTGGTCGGCAAACTCATTAGTCAACAGAGCCACCTATCAACAATACAATGATTGAAATTTCTTTGGAGAGCCAAACTTTTTAATTCTAAAATTTTTCTAATGCCACTTCTTCAAAATACTCACCTAGGCCATGGTATTTTGTGGAAGAGCCATGTGAGGCTCGAGAGCTGCAGTTTGCTGATCACGGTCCTAAACATTACTTCGAAGATATTGAAGAACCTGATTTAAAAGTTCCTCTGGCCCAGCTGGTGTGACTCAGTGGTTGAGCATGGACCTATGAATCAGGAGGACATGGTTTGATTCTAGGTAGGGGCAGATGTCCGGGTTGTAGGC